CCCCCCCCCCCTTAATTGAATTAGATCTATGGTTAGTTATACGTTATAGTAGGGGGGATCGTTATAGTAGGGGAGATTGCAAAATTTATTTTAGCCAAGATTTTTTTCCTCCGCGCTGGAGGCACGTAGATTTATATTTCTTGTGACCGCGAGATAAAAAGTCAGACATTATTTATTCCTCCCTCATTCTCCCCGATTGCTTTCTCCACCCGTCATCGTATTATACAGACTCGCCTCAGTCGCTGGGAAGCCGAGACGGGGGAGAGGAAAAGTCAGAAAAGCTGGACGGGGGAGTAAGTTAATCAGTCAGTTCCCTGAGGCAAATCGACCTTGGGATTACCGCCCCCCCTCTCTCTCTCTCTAGGGCTTTAGTTAGGGACAGTAGTAAATAGGCTACTTCTCTGGAAACCGTTCTACCAGAATGTATTGTCGTAACACTAGTCAAAAATCTCCGACACGAGCAATTTGAAAAAAAAAACCGATTAAAATTATAAGGTCTTCTTCACTTCCTGGTTTGGTAAACGTTTAACACCTGTCACAACTGCCTTTAAACTTTAATAACCGCTTTCTAATTTCAACTGGAGATCAGTTACGTATGTAGCTTAGTAGCTTCCTTATATCCTCCAGAGAAATGGTCTCATCATACGTTGTTGTATGGAAGCCATGTCTGCTCCGTCCTTCTTTACGCTTGCAGAGAGTGAGAGCTAAATTAATGTTGAAGTTAACCACAGTAAGCTACAAATTTCGTCTCGCACTAGACTGCCGTCTCTAAATCTAAATTAGCGTGCCACGTTTTACACGTAGGCCTACTTAGGCTATTATTGTCAAGAGTCTCCTCTGCGTATCATGTATTACATGTATTGGTCATCGTCAGAATCGACGGACCAGCTATTACTACTATTATTATTATAAATTGCTTTTGTACTTTTCCCTTCCGTTGGTACTGGTGGGCGTCGCGGAGGGAGTCTGTTCGTGTTTAGTATTATTAGTATTCTAACATAGTATACACCTACAGCCTAGGTTGACCCAGAAAGGACGGGTAGGCTACTAAATGTAATCACACGTGTGTAATTATTTTTTTTTAGGTAGGGCCTACTGGTAGATGTTTTCAGCCCCCTCCCCCACTTCCCTGTTTTTTGTTGGCTTTTATTTTATTTTATTGTAGCAAGTTTTTGTTTCATCAGAAAGTTATACATGTATATGTTTTCAACTTGAATGCCAGTAGTGTGGAGTGGGGATGCTGCTATTCGCAAAATAATATTTGCTCAAAACCATGCTCAACAATTGCGCACGTTAAAGTAAAGATTCTTTGGTGGTCTAAAATACGAGAGTAGGCTTCGGCCGCCACCCGGGCAAAATTCAAAATTTCCTTCGAACTGAAAACGTTTAAAGTGTCACGCGCGCTCACATGACCTTAAGTAAGCAGTTGCGAGCGCCGTAAAACACTTACAAACGATCGTGGAGTGCAAGAAGCGGCGTAGGGAGGACAACTCACTTCAACGATCAGCTTCCACACGTCAATGTAAATTAACTTGAGATTTGAGAAAGCGTAAGTTTTAATTTCTGAGTGGCTGGTTGATGGGTACACTTGCGTGTTCGTGCACGGTCCCCCTCTCTTCATAATCAAACATCTATCTATCGCCCTTATTCCTACACTTCGGAAATTTGCTTGGTACGTTAACTTATTATCAAGAATCACCTCTAATCTTCGGCATTTATTAAGTAGGCCTACGTTATTTTGTATTGCAAATGCCGTAAAACTTTAATAAAGTTGTAAAATGATATTATGAATATATATGATAACGTTCAAGCCTACTTCCCCGGTCGGCCTACTACATGTACGACTACTGCATTACAAAACTTTAAAAAAATATTTTGTGAATTTCAGAGGATGTTATTATTATATTAAACCACTTGTTATAATCTCGCTTGGACTTGGTTTTCCGACGTTTTTTCCCCCCTGTTCACTTCTGCCCTTTTGTGTTCAGGAAAGTTGATTCACGTCCAGTATGATGAGATTGAGATTAGAGCGAAATTGGGGGTGAAGGTGGTGGTGTTTGGACAGTTCATCGACGGAAGAACCTTGTTAGGCCAAGCACTTGTGGATCCACAGCACACAGGCAATAGATCACTTTGTTGATAAGGTTGTCCCAGCTGTCTGGCAAGGAAAATTGCTTCCATTATCGTTCTGAAATTGCTTTCTTCCCCCCCCCCCCATTCCTGTTTCCTTTTTTTTTTTTTTTACATGATGCCAATAGAAACACATCGACACGAATGCGTTTATTTAGTACAGGGAAAGAGTTAGAGTTAGACAGCGGACAGACAGAAACATCAGAGGGAGACAAAATAACAAAAACAAAACAAACAAAACAAACCCAAAACAAAACACACAAATCGGAGTCAATTTTTTTGCCAAAGAAACAGCCGAGACCGACAGCTTCGTTTTGGTACGAGTACGAGTTTTACGGCACTTTCAACGCAAATAGGCCACACACGTATTTAGTATAAATGCCGAAGATTAGAGGCAGTACTAGGGATAGTGACACTGACATACATGTACAAATTAAAGGACAATAGATAGACAATGTATTTAACAATAGATCAAGTCAATAGAAAAGGAGCAAACCACACCAGAGCACCTCTGTCAACCACCCACCTACACAGTGCTCACTGCAGAAAGTGTTGTCAAATTCCCACTTGACCATTGATATTCATTATATAACATTATAAGTAATATAAGGCATCCTTCAGTCTTAGGAGACTTTGGATCTGTGCCGCAGGAGATTTCACTTTCAGGTTTGAGAGCAGCGCTTGCTGTGGCTGAACAGGCCCACACGAGAATGGCAGTCCCTGTTGCCGTGGCTGCACTTGTGAGTTATTGTATGCGGCTCAGCTTTTAATATTATAGTAGAGGGTTTTACGGCACTGGCAACTGCGTGTATAAGGTCATATGAGCGCCTTTAAGGGGTGGGTGTCAACAGAGAAGTTTTTACAGGGAATCAGACTTACTCTGCTCACCTCTCTAGCTTCAACAGCACAAGGTCTGCTTCGACTGTCAAGGCACCCCAAAATAGCAGGTCACAAGAGAGTGACAAACATACAAAAGAAGTAGAGGAAAATGACAATAGTAAGGATTAGGAAAGAAAAAGCAGCAGTTCCCTGTTGTAGATCAGGCACAGTTATGAGTGTGACATGAGTCAGCCCATTTACAATTCTATTGCGCTTGAACGAGAAATGTCCCCCCTTTGGGAATGGCCTGAAGTACTAGTCAGTGGCACTGCCGCGGGGGGGGGGGGTGCGGCTCAGCTTGACATTATTATGGTTAGTGGAATATTGATATATACATTGTATTTGATGATAAAATCATGACGAGTTTCAATGAAATGTACAGGGAAACTCCACACCGATTCTTACTGTCAAAATTTTTATAACTACATATATATTATAACCCACGACTACTTTGGCACTTTCAGAGTAGTCCTATTGTATGTACTGTAACAATAACATGTAGATGTTGCGCCGGTGGCGTAATGGTTAGGACCTCGGACCCATGACCGTAATGCCATGGGATCAAATCCCTTATAAGGGGCCCTAGATCTATGTTGTGTCTTTGCACTTCACCCAGGTGGGAATAGGTACGCAGCTATAGACAGCAAAAGATCTTTGTAATGTTAGTATTAGTTTTTTAGTGTTTGAGCGTGTGCAATCCGCAGCTTGTACTGTACTGGGAAGCAGAGAAAGTGTTCTTATAATATGGTCTGCTGGGGCAATAGTGCTTGAAAAGCTCATAGAGTAAGTTGTAGAGCATTTTATATATATATCCACTTGTTGATTGGCTTTGTTAACTGTTAGTAAAAGTTTTAAGGCACTTACAACACAATTAGGTTATACAAGTGCTGAAGATTTAGAAGTATTACAAAAGAGTTTTATAGAATATATATATTATGCATGCAATTTTTATGTTTTATGCTCCCTATTGACATAATTTCAACAATTTTGGGGATGGGCCAATTAAACCCAGACTGTCAAGGCCAACCCCGACTGAGACAGAGAGGGATACATAATGTCTTTAGTTTTCGTAAGAGTTTTACGGCACTTACAACACAATAAGGTCATATAATATAAGTGCCGAAGACTAGAGGTGTTACAAAAGAGTAGCAAACATAAAAAAGAAGGAGAGATATAGACGATAGTTGTTCGATAGGAAAGGAGCAAACCATACCAGAGCACCCACCAACCACCCACTACAATGTCTCAGGAGAGAGATGGAGATTCTCGATTAAAAACAACAACAACAACAACCTTCCTACACACATCTTCTGGACGCATGGCAATGCGCCTAACCAACACCACAGTGACCACAGACACCAGTATTCAGAGTCTTAGCTTTTCCCAAAAGTTTTAGAAAGAGTTTTACTGCACTTGCAAAACACAAGTCTCAGGGTTTTCAGTAGGTGTTTTACGACACTTGCAACTCAATAAGGTCATATATGTGCTGAAAATTAGAGTTTAGTTTTAGTTTTAGTAAGAATTTTACGGCACTTGCAACACAATAAAGTCATATAAGTGCCAAAGATTAGAGGTGTTACAAGAGAGTAACAAACACAAAAAAGGAGGAGACACAAGTCTGAGTAAAGAGAAACTCACGGACACAGTAATGTACAGGGAAGAAGCAAGACAGATAGACAGAAATAACAGAAGGAAAGAAACTTGCAACACAAGTCATATAAGTGTCAAAGATAAGAGGTGTAACCAGAAAGTAACATACAGAGAAAAGAAGGAGAGGAAAGGATGATAGACTTTTGATAAGAAAAAAAAAAAAGGAGCAGTCCGAGCAAACAACACAAGTGCACCCGCTAACAACGCACATATTATTCAGAGCCACAACAGCACAACGACAATAATCATCACACGACACACCATACACCAAGAAACAAACAAGTCCGTGATCATTGGGTCTTTATGTACCAGGTTCTGTATTGTCCATCACACACAGACACACACACACACCCATGCACACCACTCGGCCTCGTCAGCTCGTCTCTCGCCCTGACCCTCGTTTGTCCCATGAGGTTCTCGACAGCTGCTTAGTTAGTGACGGCCTTCTTGTTGTGCTTCCTGGAGAACTTGAGGTTCTTCAAGAACTTGGGGTCAACCTGTGGGAGGGGGAAAAAGTAGGGATGGTACAGGTTAATTAAGTATAAGTGAAAGTTTGAGGTTTTAGTGGTTCTTTTTTTAGTAGAGGCTTTACGGCGCTCGCAACTGCATAAGGTCATATAATGCCAAGGGGTGGATGTCAACAGAGAAGTCCTTACAGGGAATCAGGCTTATTCTGCTCACCTCTCTAGCTTCAACAGCACAAGGTCTGTTTCGACTATCAAGGCACCCCAAAAACAGCAGGTCACAAGAGAGTGACAAACATACAAAAGAAGTAGAGTAAAAATGACAATAGTAAGGATTATGAAAGAAAAAGCAGCAGTTCCCTGTTGCAGATCAGGCACAGTTATGAGCGTGACATGAATCAGCCCGGCACAGTTATGAGCGTGACATGAATCAGCCCATTTACAATTCTACTGTGCTTGAACGAGAAATGTCCCCCCTTTGGGAATGGCATAAAGACATTACAGTCAGTGGCACTACCCCGGGGGGCATTTAACTTTAGTCAGAGTTCCACATTTGAGTACAAAGACACAACAACAATCATAACATAGTGCGGGAAAGAAACAGGACAGATAGACAGGAACAACAGAGAGACAGAAAGAAGTAGGAGCTATCAGGGGCATTCTTCAATCAATAAGCGGAATTTTAGTGAGATTTTACACACTTGCAAAACACAATTAGATCATATAAGTGCTGAAGATTAGGTGTCACAAGAGAATAATACCAAAAAAAAGAAGGAATAGAGAAAAGACGACACATCATAAGAAGAAAGTGGTAAACCACACCAGAGCACCCGCCAAGCACACCCAACAAGGAAAGGAGAATTTGGGTAATACCGCTAACTGTAGTTTAAATTTACAAAGAGTTTTACAGCACTTGCAAACAGATTTAGGTTGTATAAGTGCCAAGGGTTAGATTTAGAGGTGTTACTAGAAAGTAACATACAAAGATAAGAGGGAGGAGAAATGATGATGAAAGGAAAGAAGGAGCAAACCACACCAGAGCATCCGCCAACCATCCACACATGTAGCTTGCTGGAGCTGCAGGTTTAGTTTGAGTAAAGACATGCGCATCAACACAATAAGGGTTATGTCGTGCTGGGGGAAGAGTAAGACAAACAGGTAGACGGACAGACAATCAAATGAGGGAAAGAAAAGAATAAGCTCTACTAATAGTTAAACAGTGGTGCCCTCCAACTATCCACTTGTTGATTGGCTTTGTTAACTGTTTGTAAAAGTTTTATGGCACTTACAACACAATTAGGCTACACAAGTGCTGAAGATTTAGAAGTATTACAAAAGAGTTTTTAGTTTAGTTTTAGTAGACGTTTTACGGCACTCATAACTGCATAAGGTCATTTGAGCGCCAGAAGATTAGAGGTGTTACAAGAGAGTAACAAACATAAAAAAGATAAAGGGGAGATAAGGACGATAGATGTTTGATAGGAAAAAAGAAGCAAACCACACCAGAGCACCCGCCAACCACCCACTTACAAAAGAGTAACGCACAAAGAAGGGAAAGAGGCGAGATAAGGTGGATAGATGTTTGATAGATAGCAAAGAGTAGCCAACCACACCAGAGCACTCGCCAACCAGCTACACAAAAGCATGGAATCACAAAAGCATCCAGGAGAAGCAATATTGAGAAATCATTTCCAACGTGGAACTTACCCCCTTCATGGAGGGATATCTGTGGGACTTGGGCTTGTGGATGCCATTGCGGTGGTGCTTCTTGTCTGAAAACCACATGATAAAACAATCAATGCACAAGAGCTTTGGAAAGGGACACTGACTGAAAGACAGGATAGGCCCTAGTACAACAGGGATGTGGTAAAAACTGAGTGAGGAGTGGTGCGTATGTGCGCCTAGCAAATACAACATTTTTTAAAAAAGTATGAGTTTTACTGCACTTGTCCTTGAAACACAATTAGGTCATGTATGTATTGAATATTGGAGGTGTTACAAGACAGTAACAAACACTAAAAAAACCAGGAGAGATAAAAATGATAAATGTTCTGCAGGAAAGAAGAAGCAAACCACACCAGAGCACTTGCCAACCGCCCCCTATAAATGGACAATGTTCCACAAACTTTTCCTCTTGTAAGATGCTTGTACTGTGCATCTTTTTCTAGACTAGAATACTACTAGTAACTAAAGATTCCTAAGTTTTAGCTCAGGTGTGTGTGTGTGTGTGTGTGTGTGTGTGTGTGTGTGTATGTGAGTGTGTGCGTGTGCCAAATTGAATAGGTTTGACCATTCGCAACATTGTTAGGTTATTTAAGGAGGGAAAATTAGAGTGAAGTATCTTTTGCAAAGACAATGTCACACCAAGCTGAACCTTGAACGTCCGAACCTGCAATCTCACATTATTGAGTCTGGTGGCCTAACCACTAGACTACCAATGCCACTCACTCCATCTGTCCCCTTTCTCTACCAACAATTCCACCAGGCAAAAAGGATAAACAGGCACAGACACACACACACAGAGGTAAAAGTTAATCTGGGACCCTCTTTCTAAAAAAAGGCATCTTCTGTGCAGGGGAGGATGTCACAACGAGCCAAATGTGGCCGCAATCAGTGGAAATCATGGATGTGGCTTGCTAGTTTGTTATACTTTTAGTAGAGGTTTTTCGGTGCTCGCAACTGCATAACATCATAAGAGCGCCAGAAGATTAGAGCTGTGACAAGAGAGTAACAAACATAAAAAAGAAGAAGGGGGAGATAAAAGACGATAGATGTTTGATAGGAAAGAAGAAGCAAACCACACCAGAGCACCCGCCAACCACACACGGCTTGCTAGTTTGTGTAAACTCCAAACAAGCACTGTAGGTTTACTTTTTACCCACACAGACGCAGTCAGGTTGGCACAAGCAACAAAATATAAAACAAAACACACACAGAGACAGTACTCACTCTGGTTGTGATTGGTGTGATTCTTAGACTTGGCCATCTCGAATGATCTGGAAAACAAAACAAAACAAAAAAACGTAAGTGCATCAGTCAGAAACACACTATCAGAGGAAATAGAAAGAAAGACTGTGACATGTCACATTAGATTAAGTAAGCAACGATAAACAAAATTACGTCAAGTGGGACTGGTACTTGTGGGTTGGGAAGGGAAGAAAGAAACAGAAACATTGTGACATCAGATTAATGTTTTAGTAAGATTTTTATGGCACTTGCAACACAACAAGGTCATATAAGTAAGTGCCGAAGATTAGAGGTGTTCCAAGAGAGTACCTGTCACAAACATAAAAAAGGAGGAGAGATAAAAGTAAAAGACGAAAGTTGTTTGATAGGAAAGAAGGAGCAAACCGCATCAGAGCACCCGCCAACCACCCACTGCCATCAGATTAAGCAACAATAAACACCAAAATACATCAAGTGGGACTGGTACTGGTTTTGGGGAGGGGGGTGGGGGGTGGAAGAAAAGGAGTGGTACGGGCCGGCAGATATCAGATAGGAAAGAAGGAGCACACAACACTAGAGCACCCGCCAACCACCCACCCACCCACCGGCAAACCTGCGGTACCGGTAGTAAAGTCGTGGCGAGAGAAAACAACGTGCAGGACAGCACTGACGTCGCGGCATCAAAGACAAACTAGGAGGGCTGGGCAATGAGTCGCTTTATCATAACCCGGATATCGTTATTGTTAATGCACCTCCTCGGCAAATGTGTTGTGAACCGCTTCGGCAAATTATGGGTTTAGAACCACTTCGACAAACGGGTAAGAGCTGCTTTAACAAATGGGTGCACCCACTTCGGTAAACAGGTTAGGAAAGAGAGTTATGAGTCTGAATTTGGATTATAACGTTTCTCTGAGAATTATCCTGTTATCCGGAGGGAGAGCTTATAAATCCGGATTTCGCCCACCACTGCAACAAATTTGCCCTGCCTGCACTGCACGTCTTGAAGAGCAGGGCTGTTGTTTACGTACGGAGAGTTGTCACGCGCACGTCTTTAGATCGATACAGGGGACGCCTCACACGGAAGCTACTTGTCGGTGTAGGAATATTGTATAATATTATAACCTATTCTAGAGCACAGAAGTGAACGCTTGTTTGTCTGTTTCTTCAGTTTTAGTAAGGTTATATGTAATCGCCAAGAGGTGGATGTCAATAGAGAAGTCCTATTTGTTTCTTTAAAAAAATGTATTTACAGTAAGCGTTTTACGGCACTTGCAACACAATAAAGTCATATAAGTGCTGAAGATTAGAGGTGCTACAAGAGAGTGACGAGGAATCCAACCCGCCTCCCCCTTTCTAATGCGAGAAAAATAGCACCCCTCAGTCGTCACAGTAGTACCCCCCCCCCAAAAAAAACCACCAACAAACCCGTCGGCGCATATCGCCAGCTGAACGCAATCTTGGGCTATAACTCCAATGTCATTACTTTGGGAGTAAAGACTTTGTCACAATGTCCCAGCAGACAGACGAAAATACTCGATAAAAACAAACGCTCCCCACTCAGGGACCCGCATCTTCTGAGTGCGCGAAAACAACACATAAAAAGACAATTAAATTAAATAGACACAAACAATATGGGGTAAAAAACAAAAAAACAAACAACCCAACAGAGCTCTTAGTCTGTGAAAATAACAAAACACCGGGGAAAACCCCCCGGGAAAACGGCACACCTGTCGCACCCAGCTGCTCACGCTACGCACACCAAAAAATTAACCGTGGGCACGTCTTTGATTTAACAAGAACAATTATCACCAACCGACGACGTACCTCGGCCTGCACGGAGCGCGGACAATGACACTTCTTTAACTGGGTCAACAAACATACACGACCATCTCGATGACGTGAGCGATGATTGAGAGGGTCAGAACAATATTAAAGTAAAGAGTCTTAAGTCCCATTGAGGTCGTTTCGAGGAGGAAAAAAACAACCCAACAAGACGGACAGGATAATAATAATAATAATACAACAATTTGGCTAATTTGTTAAGGCCAGGAGTCTGATTTAAAGCTAACCAGTCATTTCTTTCAAACGCTACGCTGTGTAGGCTCCCCTGACGTGTTGCGTCGGGCTTCGAAGAACTCAATTTTTAGCTCAATGTGACTTGCACCCCTTTATTTTTTCGGACACCTGCTTCAATTATACCCCGAACACATTCCATTTCTAAAAATCTAGGTAAACAAGTGCGTCACTGGGAAAGGGAACACGTAAATAGCCCTACCTGGACCAGTACAGGTGAACATTCGCCACAAATCCTTAATTAAAATGTGTATAAGTTAAAAGAAGCATCACTGCCACCCACCCACGTGTATGTATATGTATAGTATAAGGTTTTACGGCGCTCGCAACTGGTAAGGTCATATGAGCGCGCGAAACACAAGTTGTTCACCTCTGCGAAAGTTCACTTCACGACTGGCTAACTAATTTACTTTAAAATGCTAAAAAGTTAAAATATTCAAATTCGGTGTAAATACATTTGTGATCTAAAACAACTTTTAAGTAACAATAAAAGTGGCCCATTCAAAGAGTGAAAAACACCGGGTGAACGACGTAGGCCTTGTATAACAAGTCCAGTAGTGAGGAGCCGAAAAGCTGACACGTTGCTCATTCATTTACGATTGGGTTTTTTTAAGTTGTTAAAATTTTTATTTTTATTTTAAGTATATAAGTGCCGAAGAAAAAAGGTGTTACAAGAGAGTAACAAACACACACAAAGAAGGAGGTGGGATAAAGACGATAGTTGCTTGATAGGAAAGAAGAAGCAACCCACACCAGAGCACCCGCCAACCACCCACCAGAAGAAGAGAGGTGTTACAAGAGAGTAACAAACATTAAAAAAGGAGGTGAGATAAAGACGATAGATGCTTGATAGGAAAGAAGAAGCAACCCACACCAGAGCACCTGCCAACCACCCCCTTTTAATTTACACCCCGATTGGCACAGTCTGTCCAAGATCATTTAGAAGGCGTCACTGCCACCCACATATTGTGGTCCGCGCAAGGAGTGGAGACACGGGCTGTATGAAACATTAACATGTCCAACAATGAGAGGGCGAGAAGCTGTGACAATTGGTTGCTCATTCATTTTCTTTACAAACAGTGTAGGTGGGTTTTTTAACACCACCGTCAGCTTTGCTTGCTTGTTTGAGTATAGAGAAACATCGACACATTAAAAGTCAACGCCCATCAGCTTGGTTAGCTTGTTTTTGTTTTAATAGAGGTTTTACGGCGCTCGCAACTGCATTGGGTATATGGGCGCCAGAAGATTAGAGGCGTTACAAGAGAGCAACAAACATAAAAAAGGAGGAAAGGGGGGTGGGGTGAATGTTAG